TCCTAGAAAATAACATGGACTTCACAGACATCATAAAGTTCTTTAATGGTAAGATGAGACAAGAGAAGTATTAATGCTACAATACAGTGCAAACTGTTTTGCCGATTGCCAACTGGCAATTTCATAATGTAGGATACTTTAAAAGTAAAACTCACTCACTCAGTCTTAAAGGTCCAGTGTGTAGGGTTTAGGGGGATATATCGGCAGAAATGGAATGTAATATAATAAATATGTTTTCTTTAGTGTATAATCACCCAAAAATAAGAATTGATGTGTTTTTGTGACCGTAGAATGAGCTGTTTATATCTACATAGGGAGCATGTCCTCATCCACAGAGTCTGCCATGTTGCGCCACTGTGTTTCTACAGTAGCCTAGAATGGACAAACCAAACGCTGGCTCTAAATTTGAAATTTTGCGTCTGCCACCGTAGTTAGCAGGCCCTCCGCAACCAACCAAAGAGCTCCAGAAAAACACTGACTTTTTAAATGAAACCAGTTTAAATAAGCATGTCTGGGTTTTTTTGGAAAGGAAGGGACCTCTGCAGATAATTTAGCTCCTGGTAAAAATGTCCTGAACATCTTGATTTTAAGTTACCAGAGAAAAAAGCAGGTGCAGGGCTTGCAGCTAAAAAGCTAGCAGCCGAAAAGCATTGGAGAAACACCGATTTGTAACGTGAAACTGCTTTATTCAGTGTTTTCACTGGTGTCAATCCCCTGTCCATTTGTTTTGAAGAAGGGACCTCTGCGGATAATTTGGCTCGCGGTAAAAACCTCCTGAACAATGAACACTGGAGGAATCCCAACCAGGTGTCCAGGCTTGGCACGTGGGTGAAGTTTCAGCTGGTTGCAATCTGCAATCCTCCCTGCGAGACTACACTAAATCCTACACACTGTACCTTTAACATAAAATATACTATTAAATATCATCAGCATTGCTAAACAATTTGCCTCTTGTAAGTTAATGACTTTCAAACTCTCCTCAGAAATGGCAGAGCGACACAATGTCCCCCAGGTCCTGATGATGGCTCGAGACCTGGTCAACAAAGTGCAGACGCTCATAGAAAACAAGTGATGCTGCTGTCCTGCTGCTGCTCCCATGTTTCTTTGTGCTGAATTGTTTCAAAAATACTGACACAACCACTTAATAGTCATGTATTCAAGAGGAATGGGAATCAGTGTTTAATGAAATGCAGCGATTGGTATGTGCTGAAAAGACAATTGGTCATTAAAACTGGCCATCATTACATAAGATAGTTGTATAACAACTTTCCAGTTTCTCCTCTCTATATTCAGGAGATGCAAATATTGCCAGTAAATTTATTTTTTGAAGTGTTATTGTTCACCCAGTGAATGTACCCTTGTTGAAACTGCTTCAGGATGTTATTTATTTTGCCTTAAATTGAGCTATTTTTTCAGGGATACAGCAACCAAATTCCTTCACCGTATTGTTCTTCTGCGAGGTTGATTTTGTTCAGTTACACCCGCCACACATCTCGTGATACACTTGAATATGTTTTCAGTATTATTATGATTATTACGTTGTATTTATTTTGCTGAAATTGTAGCTACCATGATGAAACATCTTGTAATGCACTTGAATATATTTTCAGTAATGATATCTGGCATTGTTAGATGATTTGGTTTTGTGAGAGGTACTTTAGACGAAGTTGTGTCCACGTAGCATGTGTGGTTTGCTTCTCAACAGCCATTCTGAGGACCACTTGCTGGCTTCTCTGAGGCTCGGTGGTCCTCGTCCCGTGTTTGCCTCTGATGCACAAAAGCTTGCAGGATATCCGGACCGAACCTGGGAACTCTGTACAGTCCTGCATGACTGCACACAGTCTCCATATACAGTACTGCCCTCTGGTATCAAGCTGTCATACTCTGTGCTCCTTTTATCTCAGACCTCCTCTTTGCATGATTCGCTTTTATTTCTGTGCACACTGGTTCAAACTCTCTTCTCACCTTACATGACACAATGCTGCTCAGGCTGAAGTATTCAGCATCATCAAGACAGTACAGTGCTAACAGATTCTGCTTTCTTGCAGTGCCATGATAGCTGCTGTGGTAAATTCAAATGGGGTGTGCAGTGAAGGCAGCATGCTTCCTTTACACTTCTCTTTTTCACTTTCATCTTAAGATCAGTTCCTTGGTTTTCTGTGTCTTTTTTGCCCTACCAATCTTGGCTGCCTTGTCTTCAACACGCTCTAGTTCATTTTTGTTACATGCCCAAACTTTTGGCAACAAGCCTTACAAGAAATGTTGGTATTTTTTGGGGCAAACGTGCAGTTTTCTTCATTATTACATCAAGATCCCGTGTTCATACCTGTACTCTGGACCTCTCATTCAAGGCGTGATCCAGTGTCAGATTAGCTTCGACACTTTTCCTCCGCTGCATTTTGTTTCCTGTAAAGCTAGTTTGTACCAGAAAGCACCCTCCACCTCGATGGGCTCACCTCCTTCCTTCATTTATTCATTCAAAGAGCAGTTAACTTTTGCTCAGCCTGCTGAATTTTATCTGCTGCCCTCCAGTTCCTTGGAGAGCTCTCTTTTTGGCCAGACTGCCAACCTCCTCACACAAGAGTTTCTCTTCATTGTACTGTGTATCAGTACTGCTTAGACTTTCAGAACTTCAGCTACTTTTAAATATGATTTTTCGAAGCCCTCATGAGGTTTTCACAATCTAGCAAGTACCAGAGGGTCAGGTTAATACATTTAAAGGGTCATTTAAGGGTAGCCAGTCCGTGGTATGTAGCCATTCAGATACTTTTGGTTTTATGTGTGTATGTTTACACTATTTAATTTTCTGCTGCTAATCCAATTTCATTTGTTCAGCTGAGAATGAACATTTAACGTTAGTGTTTCCATACAGAAACAATGTCCCGGAGACGCTGACGTCAATAGCTTAAATTGGTCTAAGGTTTAACAGGGCCTGTGAATCTGATCTGTTCCAACAGGTCTTGACACATAAATACAAAACTATGTACATGGCTAGATACCAGCATGTCAGAAAATATGATTTATTGGTGCCACTCACGGTTGCAAAATAGCCAAAACACACTCATGTTGGGTTCACTGTGGCTGAAATACCAGTGTTTTGATATCACTGCTAAGGTGTCTCCATATGATCTTCTAAAACATGCCTGAGTATTGCTGTTTGTGTATTGCTGTGTTTGTTGTCAGAAGATTTATTGTAAACAATGTGTTGAAAAGAAATGGACTAATTGTATAACTAAGCTAGAACATATTTATTAAATGCAATACAATGTCTGTATATGGGCTTTATCTGATTATAATGAAGAGAAAGAAGTATGCCATTGGAAATAAATATATTTTTATTTTTTTTTCTGTCTTCTCAAATTGTCACCTGGTATAATTAATTTCGTGTATTAAAAATATTATATTTTGCATCCCATGCATCCAGTGCCATCTTTGAACGACCAGATCCTTAGTATTGTTCACTTTAGGAGTGCTTTTTCCCCCCAGTTCAATCTAAAACAACACTCTCCTCTCCTTATGTAATTTGGAGGAGCTGCAGGACAAAACTCAGTCCTTATCCTGCACAAAAAAAATGCATTCCAAGGTTCAGCTGAAGCTAAAGTGAGGCTTCAAAAAGAATCCTACTTTATCTTTCCTCCACTGCTCAGAGATTGTCTGGCAAAACACAAAGAGGGAATCTCATGGCTTCATACTCGATTTGGCTGAACTGAACAAAACTTTTTAAAGGCTCTTGTGAAGTCACACAAGAGGGTTGTATTTCAACCACACTACACCCATTCTAACATTAAGATTGTATAAGATACATTTCAGGATGTGCCGTATGTTCACAGACCATTAGTGTGGGATATTTGACAGCTTACTGCACAGGTAACATACCAGCCAGGCATTTAGAGGAAGAAGATGAAAAAGGAGGAGAACTCTTAAGGACCAAAATTATCATTAAACCTATAAGCCGTGTGTCTCTTATTCACACAGCACAATACCTGAGTAGATCTAAGACTTTAAGTCTCAACCTCTGCCCCCAACAGTAAGTCATTATCCTGTTCAGCTCCCTGACATGTGAGAAACCATTTAATGGTTTTACACTATGACTTAGGCAATCACCAGGGTTGCCCATAAAGACAGATGTCAAAATAGTGTAAAAGATGAAGGTGTCAATACACAATTCTGAGATTTTGTGTACTTCATCTAGACAAAATAGAGATGTTTAAAGATACTGTTTCCATTGACTGAAATAGTTTACTTGATAGAATTCAGTGTTGTGAAAATTCAGTTCCTGAATTACATTTCTGAAATTTACCTCACTACTTCAACCATGATGTCGAAGTACTGTCATTTGTTTTCATGAGAATTGGAGATTTATTTAGGGAGATTTGATTTGCAATCAGCCGTTTACAGTACTGTCTACACTACGGCATTTTGCTGTACTCAATTTTTGACATTCAAAAATCTGGCTGGTTTGTTTGAGGAGTGCAGGCTGGGGACGCTGTGAAAAAGGTTGGTGTTAACTGAGCAAAAAAGGAGGGGATTGGTTGAAATAGTTTTATAGTTTTTGAGAAAAAACGAACTTCATAATTCCTGATTTATGGGATCTAATTCCCATCTGAACATTTTCACAGCAATTGGGGCTATTTTGGTGGAGGTTGCAAAGTCGTAGCATGTACGACATATTTCTTATTAATTTTCAAAGTTTTAAACATTAGATGGTTGCTATGGCACCACCATCAGGACAACTAGCCCATAAGGCCAGTTGATCAAGTCTGGCATAGGACCTGACTCGTGCACTGTTTTGTTAAGGCAGATTTCTTTATAGGTAGATAATTACGGTTATCAGCTTCAGGCCTGTTATCGTCCCTCCTGGCTCATTGGGGTACTTGAATAATTACTAATAACTTCTGTGCTTTTCCCACTTAATAATTTGAAATGTCTGCTGTTAATAAGGCCCTGATCTACAGCCCACTAGTTGTGCCAGGTTTTAGGTCAAGGAATGAAACAGACAGTAAAAGTTTGCTTTTTATTGGTAAAGAAAAAAACCAAAACACAACATTAGAGACGTATACAAATTAAAGTCCACCTACAGGCCGCCTCGGTCAGAGGTTCACACATTAAAAAATAATCTGACAGGTGAGGCCCACAGTAAATGTGTCACTACTTTAAAAAGGCTCATATATCTTACGTTTCAAATCAGAGTAGGATACTGATCAGCTTCACAGGTTCTTAGATTGGCAAATACTTCATACTTAAAGCTACAGAAATGCGACACACAATAAGGAGAATCTTGTCAAGAAGCAAGAAGCAGTATGACATTTAGCCTGATGGCTGCATCATCGTGTTACTTGTTTTGGACATTAGACATTACCATGTCGAGGTTTGACTTCACAACCCAGATTTCTTTATAAAAGAAACCTCCATTATGTTATATGATAATCAAATAGTTACCTCGCTAAAAATTGTTTTTAGATTCCACATAACACATATGGGTGTTTACAGAACAAAGAAAAAAGACTTTAAGGCTGTGGAGGGGAGCAGGGTATTCAGGTGATCATGACCATGGAATGTTTGTAGCAAGAAATTATGACGTATCCTATGAGGAGGCCTGGGGTTAAAAAAATAAAAATAAAAAGTAGAATTACAAAATATTTTCCCCCAATTCCTCTATAAATGGCTGGCCTTTTTACCGGTAATGACGTGGCGGTGGGCTATGGTGCTGTGGAGGGTGCCTCCTGGGGGGTGGGCTATGGCGCGACATAGCATGGCGTGGAGGTGACTGGTAGCGTGGCGGGGGAGATCCTCTGTTATGGTAGGGAGGTGAATAGCGACCCCTGGATCTGGAGCGAGAACGCGACCGATTCCAGTTGGGAGTGCCCCTCTCCTCGTAGACACGGATGTAGGCAGTCTCGCCCTAGAAAAGAAAAATGTTGGACATTTGTTCCTTTCTCCATTGACAATTTTTTCCCCTACGATGGTGAAGGCATGACCAGCCCTACTCTTTCTCCGACTGGCTACTACTTGTTGCCTATGTTGGTTAGCAACGAAGGGTGGGTCATGCCTTTGTCATCCGAGGGGGGATTAAAAAAAAAACTAATTTGGACAATTGAATCTAAAAGAACTCACTTGATGTGAACGGAACTCAGTCCGATCCAGTCTGCGCAATGCGTACTCCATGTCCTCTCTACGGAGAAACTCCACCACACCCTCTCCATCACGCTGCACATCTGCAAAACAAACATCTCCTGCCTCGCGCATATGATCCTTCAGATCCTGCCAGCTCCCAGTTGGTGGTAACCCTGGAATAGGAAAAAGACAAATGTCATCTTAGGTCCTGGTGTTACATTACTTATCACTTCAAATCATTGCAGGGACAGGTTCATCTTTTGCCCAAAGCCTAAACCCCTTGAATTAAACAAAACCTTTACTAACAGCTTTTAAGGTATTTTTTATGAACTATGAGCTAACAGCAACTGAAATTTAAAGTCTCAAATTGAATTTATTGGGTCATTTTTTTTTAGTGAATCTCAATATTTTTAAACCAGAACCCCACAGTGTTGTACTTCCAGATATCTGCTCTAGTACTACCAGTCTAATCAGGCAACTATGTACCTTAAGACTTTAAAAGGGTTGGTCTTACATAAGCACTCAATTTCTACAGCTTGTACAAGCATGCTTGTATAAACACCAGATAAATGTAGCATACAACAAAAAATTATAAACAATAACAAAATTACACCTACCAGTCACTATAGTTGATGTTTGGGATTATGCAGCCAACATGAGCACTTTCAGTTTACTGTTTTGGTTTTCAAGACATAAGGAGCTGACTTGACCTCATCCACTTAGTCCCCTTGACCTCCAGTCCGCCATGAGAGAGAGAGAACCATATCTGCCTACGACTCATGACGTCC